TTTCAAGATTGGTTTAGGTGATTGTAGCGCCACCATCTGGCCATTTATAAAACACTTTATGGTCCTAACTACTGAAGCACAAAAGTAAAACTGGATTCCTTGCTTCCACACCAATCAACAACACGTATGATAGGAACAGCACTACTGAGTTATGTCTCTACCTATTTTGGCTCCCTTTTTGAGCAGAGCAATGACTGCTGAAGTGTTTCTGCAGCCCACCGCTCGGTCCAGAGGACGCATCCCGCTGCAATCCACATGCTCCACAGATGCACCATGATCCACCAAGTACTGCACCTAACACAGGAAAAGGACACAAGCAAGGGCAACATTTAGCATGATTTACTGAACTTCAACAAGGGAACTAGTCCTGTCACCTGCTTTCTTCACTATTGCAGTCAATGAATACTACCACCATGTGGTCCTCTGCGGACAGGTACTGCAGGGACAGACATGCCATTGCTAAAACATGGTAAATACAACTGCCTGTTTCACGCACCACTTCTGGGTCACCACAGAAGGCAGCCAGGTCCAGAGGTGTCCGTCCACTGCGGTCCGCATGAGTAGTGGCTGCACCTCTGTCCACCAGCTCTCCGACCAATTGGAGCTTGCCTTTCAGACACGCCCAGCTCAGCGCCGTCAAGCCCTCCCTGTCGGTCTGGTCGAGAGAGGCTCCTGGAAACAGAGAGAGAGATTCATCTCAGCGTACATTAGGGTCAACAATAACATCGGGGTCAGAGGTCAGCATTAGGATTAGACTAGGGGATTTTAAACAATTAATGCCAGCCACTAATAAAGAGAGGCTGGAATTACCTATATTACAATGCTTAAATTGGTTAACTCAGCATAATGTAAGTGGTTACCATGATCCAGGAGCAGCTGGGCGGTGGTCATATGTCCCTCTGAGGCTGCTGTCATCAGAGCTGTACGACCCTGCTGGTCCACCATGTTCACCTCCACCCCGTGATTCAACAACAACTCCACCACCTGGCCGAGACAGACAGATGCTCAACATCTCTGGAGCAGAATCAGACTGTGTTTACTCAGTGTGTGTGTGTGTGTGTGTGTGTGTGTGTGTGTTCTGTGCTTTCTATTGTACCTGCCAGTGGTCACGCCTCACAGCACTGAAGAGCGGAGCCGCACCCCGCCTGTTGCCTTGCTCAACAGCAGCCCCCTGATCCAACAACAGCCTGCAGACAGCCAGCCGGCCACTTCCCGCTGCTGCTGTCAGAGCTGACACAGACAGGCAGACAGGCAGACAGACAGGCAGACAGACAGACAGAAAGACAGACAGACAGAGGAAGGCGGTTGGAAACTGGTTTTCTAAATGTCAACATATACATTTAGTATATGGCATGAAAAAAAATGACAAGACTCCAAACGGGTAGGAATTTAAGATATGATTTTAACCAAAAGAGAAGAAGAGTTCCATAAGTTAGGACCCCTGTATCTGATTGAAAATTGACCAGTAAGCTATAAGATGTTTGGGAAAAAAATATAAAATGAGCAGTTAATCTGTGAATGATCTGCAAGATTTGAACTGCACAAACGTACATATTTGGAAAACATTACTTTCATATTTTGTAAGTTGAAAGTTGAGTTTCCAGAAATAAAGAAATAAATTCATTTGAGTGGGTTGCAACTGTTTTTGAGAAGAAAAATGTCATAAAGAGTTGTGGAAGTTGTACTCATCCTTAGTATGATGCAGTATGAGCAAGGATAGAATATAGAATATTAAGGGTGTGAAGACCACAAAATGTCGTACTTTCATAAGTATGCTGCTAGATTTGGATCAGTCACTGTTTAACTTTAAATGCAGCCTAGATGACAAAAGTAATCCAGTGAACATGGATGGTGTAAGTCACCTTATAAAGCTACAATCTGTAACATTTCTGCATTAAAATGCCTATAAACTCTAGAGCTATGTTCTATATGTAGTTGAGCTGTGTTCTTCCATTATCCAAAATGTTTCCAACAAAGTTCAAACTCAGAAAAATCTGTCATTTTATTAAGGTAACGCTGCGTTTCACCGGTCGCCTGTCAGTGGCGTCATATCCCCTTTGTGCCTGCCTCAGCGTTGTGGTTGTCTGCCAGAAGCTGTCATACATTGACTGTTTATCC